TCTAGGTGATTCTGTGGTGAGAAGCAATTTAAGATAATTTGGAAAAAGCAATTAATTTCAAGTAAAAAATCACACCTCTGAGTATTGGATTGATTATCAATGTAATACCTAACTAACAAAGAGAAAATAATAACTGTAAGCATTTAGAACATCTAGTGTATCTCTTAGAGATTGTTTTGAGGACAATACAAGTAACAGGAATGCTCAGAATAAGAGCTTACATCTTTGTATTTTTTAGCTGGCTTACCTGCAGATATAAGTAAGAAATGTGGTAGGAAATGATTCCTTGACTTTTTTTTTTTTAATTTTGGTTTTAGTGATTTAAGCCTTGCCTGCTTTTAAATGCTATCTGTAGAATGTGTTGAAAGGATTGATCCTAGAATCTTTATAGATTTGATAGTATTTCTAACTTTTGTTTCTTGACTATATGCAGTAAAGTTTTGCAATGGGATCATTTATATGCACATTTCTTTGATTTTTTAGATATTCCTGGATGCATAGTTTAACAAAAAATCTGTTTAAAACAGTTGCAGTAATTTGCAGTTCTAGCTAAGAAGAGAATTGTGGGGTTAAACTTTGTTTTTTCATTTTCATAGAAGCTTCCTAAAGAGCATTTTATTTTTAAAGAGCATTTTAAAGTTATTTTTAACAAATACTGCATGCATCAGTGTTTGGATCAAAACAAGACCCAGCTTACTTTCTGCTTGCTGTAAATCAAGCAAACATGCTATAATCAAAACAAAATGCATAGAGAGAAATAACATATTCCTCAAAAATGTATCACAAAAGGCAAAGGAAGTCTGTGTAAAGATTCCAGATTAAGGTAATCTAAAGAGATACTACAGTTAAGTGATTCCACACTCAAGGGGAAAATGTTTTAAGCGACATTCTTGCATCAGTTGACAAAATCAGGATAGAGATAATGTCTTTAAATTTTTATTTCATTTATTTATGAATACAAGAACTGGGGTGTAAGCCAGAGATGCAGGAGGTGAGAGGATTCACCAGAGACAGTGAGGGGAGCAGAACAGGCAGAGTAACTTGGATACACTGCTGAGGGGAGCAGTGGGGACTCAGGAGAGGTCTGCTGTGCCTTGTGGCTGAAACTGAAGCTAGGCCTCAGTGCTGGCGATAGCTTGATAGCACTGAGACTTCAATCCCTGCGCCATCAGGGAGGCCCCCAGATGACAGATTTAAGTGTGTTTATTGAGGTTAAATTTATGAAAGTTGATCAAACTGTATTGTGGTTATATAAGAAGATATCCCTATTCTTATAGGGGAAACCACTGAAGTAGTTAGGAACAAAGGACTATTATTCTTGTACCTCAGTCTTAAATAGTCCAGAAAAGTGTGTGTGTGTGTGTGTGTGTGTGTGTGTGTGTGTGTGTGTGTGTGTATGCACGCGTGCGCATAGAGACAGAGGTAGCAACCAATGAATACGCAGGAGAGTGTTAACAGCGGTCGATCTGGCAAAGGGCACATAGATGCTCTTCACACTCTTGTTCTTACCACTTTTATGTAAGTTTTAAATTCTTTCCAAATAAAAGTTTATATCGCTAGGTATAGCATTTTTTTTTAATTCAAGAAAGTCACATAAAAGCACAATCATCTTTTAAAAAATTTTTTAAATAATAAAATAAAATTAAAAAAAAAACACAATCATCCTAAGAAACCATAACCTATATCTTTACTCCTTCATAAATTAAAAGGCAGAATATAAAAAGGTTTAAAAGGACACAGAAGATGATGTAATGGTTAAGATTAAAAAAGAGAGAGAGAACTTCTGAAATTGAACCGATCTTAGTTTCGACTCTACTACTTCTCACCTCTGCAACCTTAGGCAACACATTTTAACTCTCTGAGCTTCCACTTCCTCATCTGAAAGGTGAGGAATAAAATCAAAGCTTCCTTATAAAGTCAGTAGAAGTACTTTGGAGAGGACGCAGATAAAGTGCTCAGCCTAACACGTGGCAGTGAGTCTCCCAGTGAATTTCCAAAGCACTGAGAAACAGAATGCAACCTACCTCACTTTATAAAGCAACTTAACCCTGAAAACATGACAGAAACATATACAGATAAGAAACACGGAGATCATCTCACTGACAAATATGAGACATATATCGTTTTTTTTTAATTCATCAATGAATTAAAACAAAACACTATACCATGACCTGGTAGGGTGATTTCCAGAAACAGTCCCCCTTCATCTTACTCCCATCTCAAGCACTGTCAGAAAATAGGTTTCAGCAATGATGGCTCTGCTTATTCAGCCTCTAAAGAGCTGAATGTGACAATGTGATTGTGAGTGCCCCCCATTTAACCTCCTCTCAAAGGCTGGCCCCCCCAAAAAAGCTTTCAATAAAATTCAATATTGACTCCTGAAAATGCCACTTTGTAAACTAGGAATTGAAGGAAACATCTTCAGCATTAAAGACATGTATGGCAAATGTCTAGTCAATGTCTGGAGGCAGGCTAGAGTGGGGACCATGTGTTCCTAGGGTCTGTGAAACATATGGCCCAGGATAGACATCCCAGAGTCTCCAGAGGGTAAAATCCAGCTTTCAGGGAAGCGGGACATGAACCTGCCTCAGCCCTGGCCATGAAAATACAAGTATTCTATTTATTTATTTTTACTTCACTTTATTTTACTCAAAATTGTTTTTCTGCAAATTAGAATGGAGCTCCTCTCCCCAAACAGCACCCCTCAGTTCCCCGAGCACCCTCTTCATCTCGCTCCCATCCTGGTCATAGTCAGAAAATAGGTTCCGGCACCGACAGATCTGGTGGCCAAGGAACGTCGCCGTCCGTCTGGATGAGCAGTCAGAGGTGGGAGCTACCATGTGATGGCTTTGGTGTTCCAAACACATTCGCTCCCAGCACCATCCTCGTATGCCTGAGCCCTTCTCGTTAACTTCAGGAACCTCACCTGGTTTTCATAGTGTCTGGCTTTGTGGAATCATCTGCTGTGTAAAACATCACTATTTATCTTTGCCGTCTGACTCGCTTTACTACCTTTCATGTCCTTGAACTCCTTCCGTTTGCTGTAAATGGCAACACTTTGTCTGTCCTTACGGCTGAACAGGATTCCAGTGTGGACGACCTCTTCCCAATCCAGCCCTCCATCGCTGGGCATTTAGGTTGTCTCCATCGCCTCCCTGCGGGAAGTAAGGCTACAGTAAATGTTTCTAGAGCGTGTAATTTTTGAACTGATAGCTTTGTGTTCTTTGGACAGGTGCCAAGCAGGATTGCTCAGCAGTCATTCTTTCCATTTTTAGTTTTATAAGGTAAATATGTATGCTTCCCAGAAGGCTTCGCCAATTTGCATTCCCCCCTACAGTGTAGAGTTCCTCTCTCTTCGAACCCTCTCCAGCACTTGTTGTTGGGGTCTTTTTAAATATGTACCATTCTGACGAGCGTGACGTGGTAGCTTGTTGTGGTTCTGACCTGCATCTCCCTTACTGGAAGTGCTGTGATCACTCCCAGGTGACCACTGGCATTCTGGAGCTCCTCTTCCGTGAACTGTCTGTTTAGATCTGCTGCTGATTTATTAATTGGCTTATTTGCTTTTTTTTTTTTTAAAGATTTATTTATTTGTGCATACAGAGCTGGGGTACAGGACAGAGGCTCCGGGGTGGCAAGAGGCTTCACCAGAGACAGAGCAGGGAGCAGAACAGGCAGATCGATGAAGTACACTGCTGAGGGGAGCAGCGGGCGGGTCAGGAGAGGTCTGCCGCGCCATGTGGTCACCTCCAGGGCAGGCGGGGATCGAACTCATGCGGAAGCGGCTTTAGCTTCTTAGTGCTGTGTTTTAACCCGCTGTGCCACCAGGGAGGGCCCCTATTTGCTTTTTTATTGTATAAAAGTATTTAATGCCTGATAAAGGTGGGAATGGCAAGAGTGTCCAGTAATTGATAAATTATCTGGGGGAAATCGGTCCTTCTGACATGCCTCAAAGAAAATGCTACATGAAGACAATAGAACATGTAGAAGAATGTAGCACTAGATAATTCTCTTAATTCTGGGTGGAGAAGACTTTTATATAATGATATTAAAGGCAGATGCCATAAACGGAAAAAATGTTATTCCATAAATATTTCATAATTTCTGTATAGCTCAAAACACTACAGAGTTAAACATCAAATACTTAATTGGAAGTAATCATTTGCAATTAATTTCAGAGATTTCATCAAAGAATCATTAATAAAAAGAATACAGTGGTAAAACACTGGCAAAGAACATAAACAGAAAAGTTGTAAATGACCACTAAATACATGAAGGATGGGTGTGATCCAAGTATTCTACAAAGAAATACAAATGAAAACAACTTGGCAATGACCGCAGGCAATGTCCATGGTGTGGGCAGGGTCCCCCGCCAGTGCTGGCAGGACTGTGACTTGATGCCCATCTTCCTAGGTCCTGGTGCAATGTCATAAGCTTGGTGACATGCATGCCCTGCTGAGAAGCCATGTAACCCATCGGAATGTATCTATTAAGGACTAAGTCTATTAGGTTTACTAGTTGTCATTATGTACAGAACTTTGATATTCATTTCTGTTTACCCACATTTTCCACATTTGATGGTTTATTTTTATGATAAATGCTTAAAATTGTGAAGAATACAAACTTGAAGATGAAGCTGACATCTGTTCTAGGGGAGACCTGCTGTCACAGGAGGAGCAGACATAGGTCGTGCCTCTAGGGGGCACCATCTTCCAAACACTGTGGAGGCTTCAGACCGGGAAGGAGAGGGGTCCAGCTCAAGTTACAGATAGAAAGGCCACTAGGTTCTTTTCCCTGCACCCCGGAAACCTCCAGAATATTTCTCTGATGTGGGTTTTGACTGGGCATCATTTTGAACGAGAACGCCTGGTTCCAACCATCTTAAATACTTTTAGCAATGTCTTTCTGGCTCTTTGTCCAGTGGTTCTTTGCCAGCTTATTGCTTACTTTCTGAATAAGCCACACTTTCTGAATAATGGCACAACTCTGTTCCATTTCAGAATGCAACTGTTCTGCCAGGGACTTGGCGAAGAACAGATGTGCACCTGGAGAACCCAGAATTCCACACCAGATGGTATTTCAAGTATTTTCTAGGACAAGGTAACTATGCCATTATGGTGGTTGGGAAGAGGAGTAACAAAATAGACGTCAGTGCTGGTAAATTTCTGGTCCTCTCTGTGGGAGACCAACCAGTTTAGGAACACAAATATCAGAGATCAGAGGGTTTCAGTTCAAGGTCACTAGTAAGCTTTGTAGATTTGAAGACTTATTTGTAACTTTATTTGTAGGCTCAGAGTCTCAGCCCAAGAGTCGTTTTCCTTACTTAAATCTATCATCTATCTATCTATCTATCTATCTATCTATCTATCTATCTATCTATCTATCTATCTATCTATCATTATTTATCTATTTTTGCCAGTTGGTTTTGTTCCTGGGGAACTCGGGAGGGTTAGAGCCTCTGAACAAGTGCGTTTGAAAGATAAGCATTTGGCAGGTAGGAAACAGCTCTAGTCTTAATAGGGTACATGCCCAGTCTGGAGGTCTGTGGGTCTTGAAGACACCCTCGAGGCCTTGAGGTAGAGGAGCAGTTCCCTGAGCAAGCAGGCCAGAGGGCACCGGGCACGTGCGTTCTGTAGGCCGCAGGCCCACCTCCCAGGAGCCAGGCAATGTGCACGACAGAGGCAGCCATGACCCCTGGCTGTACCGTGGGTCGAGTCCTGGTGCTGCTGCTGATAACCTGAGGACCTTACGCGACTTACTGCCCACTCCTCTGAGACTCAGTTTCCTTATCTGTGAAGTGTGGGTGTTACTACGAATCCATGCCGAGTAGACTGGACAGAAGTTTCAGTGAGATGTGCCAGGAAAGCACTAGGCCAGCGTGGTCCATAGCCAGGGCTCGGGCCTTGGTAGCCGTGTGCATTTCGTGCAGCAGTGCTGCGAACTGGCACGTGAAGAGGGATGCAGGCGTGCCAGTGACCACGGGAGATGGGTGGGGGACAGTGGCCTCTGCGGGGTTAGAGCTGATGCATTTGTTTGTAGAACATGTATGCTTGAGTTGTAAAGTGAGTGGTCAGAACCAAGCAACATCTTTGTAAAAAACCTGACACTGCATTATTCTAAGACTACCTACTTGGCCTGGTGTCTTTCTTCATAAAGAAAGAAGTCTCTGGGGACGTCGTTGTCTTCCCATGGGCTTGAACGCATTGTGCCCAGAGCAGTGCTGATGTTAGAGAAAGAGGGTGCTGTCACTTTGGACGCCTTTAGCTGCCTCAACTGGCTTAAAAATATGGAAGGGCAGGCTCCAGGGTTGGAAGGGCAGGCTCCAGGGTTGAAGGATTCAGAGGCTCCGTGACCAAGGCTGGCCGTCCTCACGGTCACAAGATGGTAGCAGCTATTCCAGACATCACACACACATGGACCAGGTCCACAGGAGGAAGTCCACTGCAGAAAAGAAAGGAAGCCTCTCCAGCCCCCCCGGCACAGCTCTCCCCTGTCCCCTTGGCCACAATGGGGCCACATGCTCAGCCCTGCGCTGGTGGCTGCAGGGGCATGATCAGAAGCATCAGCTTCTCTCCCGCAGGGTGGGGCTCACTCTTCCCTGAGCGTAGCTGAAGGGCTGAAGCCACCTAAGTGCCACCTCCACCTGGGACAGAAGGAATCAGTGCGTTTTCACTGCTATATTCTGCTTTCTTTTCCAGTCCACCAGAATTACATCGGGAATGATGCCGAGAAGAGCCCCTTCTTCTTGTCTGTGACGCTTTCTGACCAAAACAACCAGCGTGTCCCTCAGTACCGTGCAATTCTTTGGAGGAAAACAGTAAGTACCTGGCTTGCGTCGCACTTCGCCGCCGCAGAGCAGATCGCCCGTGTGGCCCGATGGCAAGGGAGCCTTTGTCTCGGAGGCCTTTGCTCGGGTACCCTGGCTGCTGCTGCTCACGCGTGTGACGCGCAGACGCCTACTTAGCAGCATCTCTCCACATTTCAGCCACTCATTAGCCATGCCCACTGCCCTCGGTCTGTGTTCCCTGGGTTACACCCCAGTTACTGAGTGCTCACCGAGGCAGTCAGTGAGACTGAATGTGACGGGCTGGCTCTTCCACGATAAGAAACAGCGTGTCCTGGGGGATTTCATACAGCTGCAGAGGTGCAGCCCGAAGGCACAGCCGAGGGCTGCCGCTTCCCCGAGGCCCGCTCCACCACGGAGCCGGCTGCGCTTCTAGGACTTGCTGAGGCATGACACCTGCCCTCTGGCCACACGGCAGATGCACCCCTGGAGCCTTCACAAGGCCAGTACCGCTGCCCGTAGCGGGCCTGGACACTGATCGAGGGAGGCAGGCCCTTCCACTTCGGGTCTTTTTTCCACTTTTTCTCTTTTGTGGTAACACTGGTTTGCTTTGCTGTTTGTGTCTGAGAGGTGCAGGCGCTCCTCCACTGTCTCCACAGCCCACCCCGTCGTCCATCGTGCCCCCCCATTTTGTTCTCGCCCCTCGGCTTTTCTTCTCGGAGCCTCAGGTCTGTGGTCCGGTTTCTGGGGTTTGTTGTCAGTTCAGCTTTACCTGACCCTCCTCTGGGTTTCCCTGTGGTCCACAGGTAAGTGACCCCACCTGGCACGTGCTTCTCCCCCTGACTCGGTCCGCGCAGCGCCGTCCTCTGCGGCCCACCCCGCGCTCAGAAGGCCAGCGCGGCGCCCCTGTGTCATGGGCTCTATCCGCCACCTGGGTTTCTGACGCTCACTCTCGGTGGTCTTTTCCTGTTTCCTAAATTCTCTCTTCAGTAGTTCTCTTATTCGATCTCTGTTGCATCTTTCACCTTTTCTCATTATGTTCTTCCATTGACATTCCCCCCCTTGGCTTCTCAGAGAAGCTTTTTCAGAGACAAGACATGTTGGAAAGAGCAAAAGGTTTGGAGTCGAGCTCATAGGGTCAAATTACAAACTCATTTTGTGTAAATCTGAGAAACGCTCTTGCATGCCTAAAGGATAAAAATGTTTAGCTCTGAATTGGTGCATGTGTGATGAAAAAATGAAAGCAGTGAACTAAGCCTCACTGGAAGAAGACAGTCCTCCTGTGGCCTGCACGGAGTTGACGCGTGGCAAGGCAAGGAGAGGGAAGGCAACGGCATCCTGCTTTTCGTCTCAACTCCACAGTTTATCAAAAACTGCCACGTAGCTCTTTTTTGGGGTTAGGGGATCATACAGAAATGTAAAAAGATACTGATTTGATCCTGACATGTCTTGCACAGACATCATGATCCGCATCTAGAACAATACAGCCGCAACTGCAGAACCCCGGAAAGAATTTCTAGGATCGACTGGAGTAAGTTGTAGTCAGACACTTCTCATGCTAATTACCAAGAGTGATACTAATAACAATAAGATCAATTTATTGAGCACGGATTGTTGCCACCTACCACAGCAAGTCCTACCAGAGGCCACCCGCCTGGGTGGCGGCCATCCGGGCGGACAGGGAGAAGTCACGGGCCAGGTGCCGTCGGGCCGCGTGCCAGGCTGTGGCCGCCGTCCGTGGCCCTGTGCACGTCATCCTCTGCTGTCACTGAGCTCCATGACGCGGGGGCTGCTCCGGTCTAGCGCATCGCCCAGCTCAGGAACTCAGGACGTGCTCACTGGGTGAGCTATGGGTGATGCCGAAGTGCAGCTTCACATCTGCGCTGCTGTGCCCCTCCTTAAATAAACTTGCATGTATGTTCAGAGTTTTTCCTTTCCTATCAGGCTTAAGGACTCCACCTTTCTTGTGAAGTTTTTCCTGCAGAAAACACGGACGCTTGCCCCTCCATGCCGCTGCAGATGGGGCAGCTGTCCTTTTCAGTTGTTATTTTGTTAAACAAAAAGCGAACCGCCACCGTCACCGTCCGTGGGGCCCCTCTGCCTTCCCCCCGCCCCCTTTACCTCTGGCCACCTCTGTTCTGGTGTCGCTTTGTTTCTTCATGCGGCGCCTCTAGGTGAAAATAGTCTGTATTTATCTTTATCTTTCACACTAATTTCACTTGGCATGTCCCTCCAGGCCCCACCATTTTGCTGCACGTGGGAAAATCCTTCCTCATCACCAGTTTCCCATCATGTCTGTCCAGTGTTCTCACGGCAGCTGCCTGCACTGGCCCCAGCTCTTTGACGACGCTGCCCTGCACGTGGTGGGGCCGGTACCCTGCCGGACACCCCGAAGTGAGGTTGCCGCTGCTCCTTAGGGCAGTTCCATTTCTGGTTTTCTGAGGAAGGTCCAGACCACTTTCCAGAATGGCCGCACTGACCTGCGTCCCATCCACAGTGCGCAAGTGCTGCTCTTGCTCGCTGTGCTTTCTGGAAACACGAGTCGTGCTCAGCACCGCGAGCGCACGTTGAGCTGTGGGCCGCATTCTCACACGCACACACCATAGTCTGTCCTTACTGCTCAGCTGCCGAGAAGGACCGTGCCCTTGTCTGCAGCCCCTGGAGTGTTGTTCCCTGGGTTTGCTTGTTTATTTTAGTGGTCACTAGTTACAGTGCACCGGTCTCTCCGGTGTCAGTATTCCTTTTGGATGCCTCTGTCTCTTCTGGACAAATAGTCTGTCTGATTTCCTTTCCTCCTGCTCCTCTTGAAGTCGATCTTGGGGTGCGTGGGAGCGTTTATGAGCGTGCATGGTGGCCGAAGGGCACCTTGGACCCACGCGTGGCCCTGCAGGTTCTTTCTGGTTTCTGCTGTGGAGTGATTGATCTGGCCTCTGAACCATGACTTGTAACTGGTCCTGCCAGTTTTTGTTTGTCTGGGGGCGGCAGGCAGGGGGTCATGGGGAAGCACCTGACCCTGAAGTCCTCCCCCAGCAGTTTGCCTTGTCGTGAACTGGCTGCATGTTATGAACTCTCTGCCCTGGTCACCTCTGCTGTGCCCTGCCCTGGGCATAGGGTGGGGTGGGAGGAGGCAGGGAAATGGCCTTAGGCTCCAGTCACTCATCCTGCAGCTTTTATGTTGGAAGCCAGCCAGTCACTGCCCTCATTGTGTGAACAGGTTCTGGCTGAACCTGAGGGCTCTTTCGAGGGAGGCCTCGAAGTGAGCGGTTGAGTTGTTGTCTCAGCCTTGGAGTGGGGGCCGTGGTCATATCACCCCATAGCTGTTCTTAAAGCGTATGCATCTGTCTTCGAAGGTCATGGTGGAGAGTGTTGTGGGGAGATCAGGGCTAAGCCAGCGGCATGGAGGTGAAAGAATTCACCAGAGGCAGAGTGGAGAACAGAACAGGTGGATTGATTGAAATACACTGCTGAGGGGAGCAGTGTGCGAGACGGAAGAGGTCTGTGCCCTCAGGAAGAGTTGAGGTTCTCTTTTGTACTCTGTTTTCACTGGATTTCTAACTTGGGTACCAGTTTGCACCAGATATCTGCTGGGATATCGCCAACACTGGCCTTTGACCAGAAGCGTCTTCTGTGTTCCTGGAACTCGGCTGGTTCCTCTGCGTGCTGGTCGGTTTTATAGCCTCGTCCCCAAGGCAGCCTGACCCATCCCCTTATCTGTCCCAGCTTCCCAAACCTGCCTGCTGAGTCAGGAGTGGGGTTTAGTTTTTAACCTCATTCAGCTGCACCCTGACAGAGTTGTTTGCCAGTTCGCACAAGGGCAGTTCTGGAAATGAGGGTAGTGCCGCCCCTCCCCGCCACCCCTTACTTTTTCTGTCATCTTCCTTCACCAAGACAGGGAGCACGGGTCTCACATTTCTGCCTTCCGGGTGGGTCTTCTCGATGTTACCACGTTTCCTTTGGGAAAGGCCACCTCTTTACCTGGGGCAGTTGCCAGATCCCAGGGAAGGAAGAGGGGACAAATGAAGAACTTATGCTGGTTTTAATTTCTGAAGACAGTTTCTCTATTGTATATCATAACTTGTGGTAAACACCCTGAAGGAAATGAAGACAGAATGAGAACAGAGAACCGCTGACGTCTGAGAGAGTCCAGAGAACGTTTCCTGGGAGGTGACACTGAAACAGACCAGGAGGTGAGGGAACTGGCCCCTCAACAAGCAGGAGAAGGGGCAGAGATGCCAGACATAGGGGCGCCAAGCACTAGACAAGGGGATCGCCAGGCCCTCTGGCTGAATTAGAGAAGCCCAAGAAGTGGGATTTGAACCTGAAGACCACAGTGAAGGCAGCGCAGTGCAGGGCTGGTCCCCTGTGGCTGGAAGTATAGGCACTTTGTCCAGAGCCTCTCCCGGCCCAGGTCTGTGCTGGAGCTAGGAGGTGTTGGCCATCAGCGGCAAGCCAGGCTGAGGGAAGGGAGGAAGGGGGCAAATCAGAGAAGACCGTGGGGGAGGGGAGGGGCCGGCCATTAGGCCCCCAGCACAAGCCGGGCTGGAGGCTGTGGGGAACCCAAGACAGATGACCCAGCCTCCTCACCCCACCGCCAGCCCACGTTCTAGATGAGACGGTCTGGGAGCACTAGATTAGAACCCCACCTTAAACAGACTGACGTGTCTCAGCTGTATTCCTTCTAGACATAACGAAAAGCTTTTTAAAAAGTGATTCATACTTGTAAAAATTCCTTGTAAATGATACGGCAAATAAGACATCAAAATCCAGTGACTCAGATGATCGAGGCGACATCCTCCTGACATCCGCTCGCACTCACACCCCTTGCATACGCACCTCTTGCACACGTGGGCAAAGTGCACACGCAGCTCTGGTCCTCTCTGGGCTCCCTTAGCTGTCGGTACCTGAACTTGGCCCCACCATGCCCACGTTGGTCTTGAGAACACAGGCTGCGAGGTGTGTTCTCTTGGAGAGAGAGCTGCAAGAGTGGGGAGGAAGAGCCTTACGGCTTGTGGCGTCGCAGGACTGCATCTGCCGCCCACCGCCTGCCTCCCAGCAACCAAGGCTGCTCCTGAAGACTCGTGGCCACCTGGCAGGGCGGGGCCCGTACCCCCTAGGCGCCCCGGCTTCTCTGTAAGCTGCCTTGGTGTGATTGTTGAGGAAGAGAGGTAGACGGTGAGAACTGAGCAACAAGGCCAGACTCAGGATGGACCCGAGTCCCGCTGGCTGGCACCCACCGAAGGCCATGACTGGGCTTCAGGGGTTGGGGGGGGGGGCGGTGTGTGGAATTTGAAAATGTAAGTGTCTATCAAAACGTGTATTTGGATATATTTTTTAATCTATGCAATGCAAACTACAAAAATATGAAAAGGAAAGCTCAACCTCATTTCCCCAGCGGGCAGAGCGACTCCCGCTGCAGCAAGCAGTTTCTGGAGCTGCGTGGAGAAGACATCTGCCAGCCTGGGGCGGGGATGGCATGGCCGGGCTCTCAGGGCGTGGGGATAAAAGAGAGCTGAGGCTGCAAGGGGTGAGCAGCCCTTCTCCTGCGGTCCTGTTCAGGGCTGGGGCAGGGGAGTTGGCAGGTGTGTCCCGAAACCACAAGGAAAGTCATTACTTCTGCGCCTGCTCTCTGCACGGGATGTCTTCGCCCAGCTCTCGCAGCTGGTGCTGCCAGCTTTATTATCAGTCAGAGTTAGAAAGTTTGTGGCGTGGGCTGCGTCATCACGCCTTTGCTAACCACGTGAAAATCCCTCATGGGTGGGGCGGGCCGGGGCCTCTGGGGGTTGGGAAGAGATGGCTCCTCTGTATGGGTGGTTGGGGTGCGGACCTGAACCCTTCAGCTTATTCCCTTTCACTCAACAAATAGCGCTTGAGAACGTTCTGTGAATTGGGGCCACGGGCGGTGCTTTAGAGAGGAAATAGACTTCTAGCAACCAAACAGATAACATAAATGCACACTTTTTTTTTTTCTCAAAGGTCTCAAAACCTCCAAAAGTTTAGGGCTTCAGAAAGCCTTGGACTTGGAAACACGGCGCTTGGTCATGAGTATGTGGGGGCTGCTCTCTCCTGCCGAGGAAGAGACCTGCCCCTCCCTCAGAGACCCTGCCTCCTGGTCGGGTGGCCCTTTCTGGGGCAGCGCCTAAACCCCCAGTTGGGGGTGGGGACGTGGGAGGTGCTGCCTCAGCGAGACTTTCCTGACACGGAGTGTGTCCGTTCATCTGCGTGTGCTTCGAGGAAATGAAAGTGACAGGCCGTGCGTTCCTTTGAAGCAGCCAGGTTCTTTCAGACACAGAAACTGCCAGACTCCCCCTGATTGGGTGTTTTGATTTCCAGGGTACCCAGAAAATATGCCTCCCCTACAGTCCCACAAAAACGCTCTCCGTGAAATCCATCTTAAGGTAAGCACCACTCCGCAGAAGGCGGCCGGGCCCCGTGGGGGATCTTCTGTCCTGTTTGGTGTCGCCTCCCACGGCCCTGAGCCACGTCTCAGTGCTGGACTCTGCTCGTGTTGGCGTGCTTTGCTTCACATGATGTTCTCAACAACCCTTAGGGCTGGGAAGTGTTACCCCAACTTTATAGATGAGGACATGGAGGCTCCGATGGGGTGGCGGGGAGCCAAGGTCGCACAGCTTGGGTGTGATGGGACGCGGCCGGGGTCTCGGGACGTGCTCACGGCCCACTGCACTGCTCCCGCTGGTTTTCATGCACACACACGGATACTTGGGTGTTGTAAAGGAAATCAAGAAACACTCTTCCCTTCATTATTCTGCTTTGAAATAGAAACTCATTTCTCAGCAAATGCTTCCAGAGAAGAGTAGGCTTGTTCTTTGCCAAAGTACTGGAACACCTAGCTGTACCCCGCTCAGATGCCTCTCGCCGCACCCCCCCAAACCTTTCCACCGCCTCTCACCTGTCATCTCTCTTGCTGTGGGGTGGCGACCTCCCCTGGGGAAGGCCAGCATTCAGCTGGGCCCACTGCACTGTCACCAGCTGAGACGTTCCCGGCTACAGCCCGTGTCTGCCAGGCACCGTGCTGGGTGCCTTGCCAGTGGGCACTTAGCAGACCTGCAGACCAGCTCCTGCCAGGCCTCCTGTCATGTTCATGTATGAGGAATCAGAGTCTCAAGAGACACAGCGGGATTTGGGGAAACTCAGCTGGTGAACCGCACAGCTGGGATCTAAAGCTACACCCGTGTGACCCTGGCCGACTGCCCACCAGCCGGGCCGCACGTGCGAAGAGGAAGCCTGTCTCCCGGGCCACTATCCTGCCTTCCTCCATTGGGCAGGGATGAGTGAGGAAGGAGCACTAAGATTAGGAAGTGCACGGTTTTGTATTTCATTTAAAGCTCGATTTGATCGCCAAATTGCTGACCTTCTCCCTGCTGTAGACCTTCTGGGTTTTCTCTGGAGCAATCTGAAAGCTGAGTTAAGAAAGCATCACTAAACCGAGCACAGATTTCTCACTGCTTCAACATCGTCACTTGCTTTGAGGGGAATACTCTGAATTATGCTGCCTTAAGATTTCTGTGAATGTTATTTCCTAAAAGGAAGTTCTAGCTCCATCTTGGCCTGCGCTTTCATTTATTTATAGGTTCATCTAGTTATGTCAGCTGGGCCTTTGCCTTTCAGCCCACCCTTCACAGCCAGAGAAGCTCCAGAGAGAAAATATCTTCAGAGATAGAAAAGGCAAAAACTTCTACAACTGCAGCCAGTCGAATGAATGATTTTATCTTCTTTGGTACAATCATGAACTTGAAAAATTTGAAAGGACGTTAAGATAGAGACACTATGGGATGAGATAAGCTCAGGCTCAAAGTCGACTCTTCTAGCTACCAGCTTGGTTAGCCTGACTAGTTCTTCGCCTTTGGAGCCTCGCTCTCATCTTTAAAATGGGGTAAATGCGCCAGATGGCTTCACGAATGAATTCTACCAAACGCTCAGAAATGAACTAGTGCCTATCCTATACAAACTCTTTCAAAAAAATTGAGAAGGAAGGAATACCACCAAATATGTTTTATGAAGCCAATATTACACTAATGGCAAAACCAGGCAAGGACAACGCACACACTCACTCACATGGGCCCTGCTTCAGAAGCGTAAAGGCGATAGTCCCGGTAAACACTCCCAGGGTACTGGCGGAGGGACGGCTCCAGAGGCACTAGCTGTCACCGTTTCCACTGCTGTTCACACATTCGGGGATCCTGCCTGGAAAGGGCTTCGAGGTTCTCTAGTTCAGGTCCCCAGAGGGCTTGGGCTCACGGACATTACCATTTCTATGCTGTCCAGGAAGGTCTGCGCTAGTGGCTGGGGAGTTACCAAAGGAAGAAAGACATGTCAGATCATTCTAACTGCGTTTCGTTTGATCATAAATTGCTATAAAAAGTCAGTGGAGCGCGTTTTTAGTAAATGAAAGTAAGACGCTTGAAGCTCTACCAAGGTAGCCTGAAACGGGCTATCCGGCCCCCCTTGCTCTCTTCCTGGGTGTGTGTCCCCGGGGACCGTCGCATCAGCACGGTGCTCCATGCTGGCTGGCCACCCTCAGCACTCCTTGGTCAGCTGCTCCCCACGGGCTGTGTCTTCCATGGGCCCGACCTTGCACGTGTCCATTCTGGCTCTTGGAGAAAGGATTTAGCTCCTCTGCAGACCCAGGACTTGTTTTACCTCACTTTTTCTACTGGCTTATTCTGTCCATTCTATTTCAGTGCCATGAATCTGGACAAATTTGAGAAAGGACCCAGAGAAATTTTTCATCCTGAGATACAAAAGGTAACGGAGAATTTTATGCTTCATTTCATAATCATCTAAGTTTGGGCACAGTGCTAGACTATAACCTCAGGTCGTGTGAGTCTTGGCCCAGGTTATGAACCAAACCACCTTTGGGGTTTTGAAAATGTTGTCATGGAGAACCTCTGAGGTTCTCATTTGCTGGTTCCAAGGCCAAAATTAGAGCGATTGTGAGGTGTGGCCACTCCTGACAACTACTGGACTATCAGGACCTCAGTCCAGGAGCCAGAGTGTGTGTCCAAGACTCGATTGACTTAAAGGCCAGTCTCTTTACTATGTGCTGTCAGAAGGGTGGAATGTGAGCTTTCCTTTTCATTAATGAAATGCAATATGTGTTTATTGAGCACTCACTCATGGAGCATGCTGCTGTGTAGCTAATTGGACAGAGGGCGCCCTGAAAGCCATCCCGGTTTCTTACTGCTGAGGCAGAACAGTCTGCTACGGGAATACAGGTGAGGGTCCCAGCCTAGGAGACGGGCGTCAGAAAGATGTCAGCCAGACCGCGTCAGCTGTTCTGGCAGGATCCTATCAGCTAACCAGGCAGCACTCAGAGAGGATGAGGAAGTTCTTTCTTTATGCCAGCAGGCCTTACGCCAGTGGGCCCCGAGGAACTCTGAAGCTAAACAATTAGGCCAAACAATTAGGCAGCAGCAGATTTATTGACTAAAGCAAGGGTACAGGCACTGGGACACATGAGTCCAGCGTGTGGCCTTGAGGGCGCTCTCCAGGGGTTGCCTGAGCCTGCCAGCCCGCGGGCTGGTCCCGACTTCAGCTAATCAACAGGTCAGCCACCATTTTCCACTTCACAGTGAGCTTTGCGGACCTCCCTTTGAAACGGAAACCAGCACGGCATTCACTAGCTATGGCTGCTCTGTGTCCAGGCTAAGCACCAAGGAGTGGGGCAGAGCAGGGCAGTCAAGGGACAGGGCTGGAGGAGAGGTGGGTGTCTGTCCTTGGGAGCTTGGGGGTCTTCTGCCAGCAGCATGTGCTCAAGTGAGCTTTTTAGGGAAACAGCGCAGTTGGCCCAGCAGCACAAGGAGCTTGGTGGCGCCGGAATGCCTTTAAGCGCAGCGAGCTTTGAAGACAGAGACAGCGTCTCTCAGTTTAGCTCATCCAGAATATCTAGAGTTGTGAATTCCCCAGTCTTTTATCTTAAGAGAAACTTTAACGGCACTTGTGCCTGCCTCAACCCCAGAAGGAACTAAGGTAACAAAAACTGTGCTGGGTTAAATTTTTAGCAACTTTAAGTCAAGGCTGTGTTTCAAAGTGATTCTTTATAGCAAATTTTAAAAAAATTAGGGCAAGCATGCCAGTTTGTACTGGTCATCATTCTGTGTGTGTGTGTGTGTGTGATATTTTATTGAAATAGCCCTCCTTTCAGCACCCCCCATGACTTAGGGGTATGGGTTCACACCCCAGTCTCGTCGTTTTCCTTTCCTTCTGCAAATGTGGATACAATCCTCAGAATCGCAGGGCCCACTCTGGGTAAGGCGTTCCTCCAGGTCACTGGGTCCCTCCTGCTGCTTGCTGCTGCATGGTGGCCAGCAGAGCCAGGCTGTGTCATCCCTGGCCCTTTTCTCTGGACCACAAAGTAAACAAGCCCAGGAAACAGGATACAGCGCCTCCTGTCAGCTTGCGCCATCGCTGGGGTCTGCTCTTCGCCCAACAGAAGCACTTTCATGCTTTCCCCACATTTCTGTTCTGATTTTCCTTCCCTTGATGAGGAAATGTCCGCGCTTTCCCATCATTGTGTGTATGTATGAGAGAGAGAGAGAGAGTGCGCATGTGTGTGAAACTTGCTGCACCAGTTTCACGCCGTTAGCGGGTTTCTGTAGATGTCCCTGGGAAGCCTGGAGCCAGGCTGGGGGAGAGTTTTCTCACACAAAGTGCACAGCTGCAGAAAGGTCACAAAAGAAGACTTTGCATTCATAAAGAAGGCATCATTCCCCAAGTGGGACGGGCCTGATGCTCCTTTAAATGTTACTGGTCTTTTTTTTTTTTTTAAGATGTATTTATTTATTAATACAAAACTGGGGTACAGGCCAGAGATGTGGAGGGTGAGATGATTCACCAGAGACAGAGTGGGGAGCAGAACAGGCAGATCGACAAAGTACACTGCCGAGGGGAGCAGTGGGCGGGTCAGGAGAGGTCTGCCGCGCCATGTGGATCTCCTCCGGGGCAGGTGGGGATCGAACTCATGTGGAGGTGGCTTTAGCTTCTTAGTGCTGTGCTTTAACCCGCTGCGCCACCAGGGAGGGCCCGTTAGCTGCTCTTTTTATCAGCCAAAATCTTCCCAGAAGCATATGGGATAAACTAGCATCAGATAATAGAGAAATCCGCGTGTCTCTGTTCCTTCCCACTGCCAAGTCTCATCTTTGGTTCCTGAGAGTCCTGGAATAATATGAGTCTCCCAAATGGCCAAGTATTCCATAAAATTGGATAGGGCTAAATTTGAACTTTTTAAAGCACGTCAGGACACTCAGAGTGGTGTAAGAGTCAGTGAGATAAAGCTTAGTTTCCACAGAAAGTCAAAATTAAATAATCGCTTGTTAAGCAGGGACATAATGTTTACACCTTTATTTGACAGGACTTGCTGGTTCTAGAAGAACAAGAGGTGAGTAGCTTTATGAGCCGTTCGTCCCCGCTGTGCTCTGTGTCGCCTGTGACCGTGAACATGACTTTTCCTTTCAGTCACACCTCTGCATGGATTTGTACAATGTGCATCTAGTTCCCCTGAAAGACTTTCCGACATGTTTTCAAGGTATACTTCAGAATTTTCTACGCAACTAGTTGTATGGATATAAAAACAATCCCTGTATTTAAATCTACTTGGAAATGTTCCCATTTTAGCCATGTTAACAGGCTGAGTCGTGAGGGTTAAGTTTCCTAAGGGCAGGGTACTTCCACTTTGCTAGCCCCCTCGATTGACAGAGTGCCTTCTTTAGCCACATGGCCCTCCGTTGCTCCACTTTTTAAAAATGTATCTAGGCAGGTAATGAACACAGGGAAATAACCAAAATATTATCCTCAGGCAGTGAGAAGAAAATGAGAGCTGTGTCTCGTCCACCAGCTGCTCCTGCTGGCACTTCTTGGGCACACACTTGCCACCGCCCCCCCAACTCCCACGGCCTGATCCCTGACCCACCCATCAGCTCTGCTTTCCAGCCTTCTACGCCATTCCTCATGAGGTGCCCAGTAGTCCCTCGCAAGCACGTCAGTTGGGCCATCCTGATGATCGCGACCGAACGGCTTCCCACCCCGCCCCTCAGACCGGTCAGCCCTGCAGGAGCCGGTCATGCATGCTGCCCTCGCCCTCTGCGCTGCGCTGACACGCGACTCCCTGTCCTTCCACCCCCCAGGAGAGCCCACGGCCCCACTAGGGATGCTGCCAGGAGGGGCTCAAGGCCACGCCCTCCCTTGCGAAGCGCCTCAGCCCTTCTTGATCACGGGGTAGCTGAAGCTTCTCACCCACAACCCCCTTACTCTGCTTCTTTTTTCTTTGAAACCCTTGTATCTTCGTTGCTTTATTTTTTTTTTTAAAGATTTATTTATTTATTCATACAGAACTGGGGTACAGGCCAGAGGCTCAGGGGCGGTGAGAGGCTTCACCAGAGACAGAGTGGGGAGCAGAACAGGCAGATCGACGAAGTACACTGCTGAGGGAAGCAGCGGGCGGGTCAGGAGAGGTCTGGCTCGCCATGTGGTCTCCTCCGGGTCAGGCAGCAGGCGGGAATCGAACTCATGCGGAAGTGGCTTCAGATTCTCAGTGCTGCGCTTTAACCCGCTGCGCCACCAGGGAGGGCCGTTGCTTTATATTTTTATCTCACCCCCACCAGAATGTAAGCCATGAGAGAAGGGACAGACTCTGCCCTTCCTAGCCAGTACAGACAGAGGGCACAGAGGAAATCTTTGTTGGGTGAATAAGTGAACTATGGATGGATGGATGGAGTGAATTATGAAATGCTGTGATACTGTTACGAGAATGAGGTAGACCTTTACTTCCGTGACATAGTATTTACTGAAAAGAATTCACAGGGCAGTACAATCCCAGTTGCTTTGGTAGATGAAGATCTGTATGTATTTATATATTCATTCAACAAACATTGATTGAGCTCCTGCAGTCTGTGTCCCACTTACTGAGGGAAGCTTTGGGGAGATGTTGATGAACAAGATGGAGCTTACAATCGGGTAAGACAAAAACAGCCAGTAAACAAGCATAAGCACCGTCAGTAACCCCGAGAGCTGACAAGAAAAGAAGACAAGACAGATGACGTGGGTCAGAAACAGGGAGCCTTTTGAGGCGTCTCATCTTCCCTGGGCTTCCAGTGTCCTGTGGCAAAATGCAAGTGTGGGCACAGTGATCCCCCCCCAAGCCACCAGCCTGCGCCATCACGGCTCACTGCCTCGGCCTGCTGGCTTTCAGCTTGCCTGGGCCCGGGCCCCTGGCAGTCGGGCAGGCTGCTCGTCTGTTCCTTTCACCCCAAGCTTCTCAAAATGGGTCCTGGACCAGCAGTATCTGCATCACTTGGGAATTTGTCGGAAGCACATGGGCTTGGGTCCTGCCCGGAGCCAGCACATGGAGACACTGAGTGGGACCCTGCAGCCCTGATTCCTGCAAGCCTCCAGCTGACTGCGGCCCAGTCAGTCTTGGGGCCTCTGTGACAGTCCCTGCTCTGTTTTCCTCACAGGGTCCTTCGCAGGGCCCCAAGATGCTGGGACCCCTGACAATGGGAGACCTGCAGTTGCTGTCATCATTTCCAAAGTAGAGTCAGAACCTGGAAAAGGGGGCTAGAGATCCCTGGCAAAGCCCAGTAAAGTGACCAAAAACTAGTTCGGGCAAAAGAGGTGATCACATGGTGGCAGCTTGTGTGTTTATTCTGTTTCTCTCGTTTACCACACACACAGTGTCAGGAGTGTTTATCCAGTCCTCTCTGGCAGTCTGACTGCTGGCTCGGAGGAAAGCGTCCACATCCAGTCCCTCCTCCACCGGACTCACGTCCGAGTGGTAGAAAGGGACAAGGAAGCAGGCTCCACAGGCCCTGGGCACGGATGGTGCGCGCCGGCGATGCGCCCTGCACCGTGGGAGTGATGGCAATGTTGTAGGGCGGCGGCAGAGGCCTCGGGAACTGCCCTTTGAGATGAGCGCTGCGTGGTGGAGGAGGCGAAGGGGGTCCAGGTGGCTTGGGGCGTCCTCCCTCCTGCTCATGCTGAAGAGAGAACCAGCCCCCGACACTGTGCTGTGTCCCGCCGTGTGTAGGGACAGGAGAAGGTCAGGGAGCCCAACTGGAACCTTTAAACCCTGGCGGTCTGCCTTGACCTCCCCCTCTGACCCATTGGCCAGTGCTTGAAACAAGTTTGTCCTCTGAGTGACCACCCAGAACACCCCTAAACTGCCTTGCAAAGGTTGATTCTCTTCCAACCTCAGATTTTTGTTATTATGAAATGTTTCAGGCAGACAAAATGCATATTAAAAATAAGGTAATGAAGACCTTTAAACCCACTACCCAGCTTAAGAAGAAGAAAGAACCATTAAATACACAGTTGAGCTCCCGGGCCCTGTCTGTCTCTTCCTCTTCCCTGTGGAAGCCGTTTCTCAGTCGGTGTTTATTATTCTCACAGGATCCAATTTCTATCCAGTGCTTAAAGTCAAGAATAGAAGAGTGAACAGTTGTGTGGATAACTCTTGATTGGCTTTTTAACTCCACATCTGTTTGTTGACTCCTTGAGATTAAAAATATCTTTAGGAAGTGGGGAGACGAGGCTTTAGAATAAGTTGCCTGCACTTTTTACTCCTAATTCTCAGGGTCTCCCACTCTCAGCCCGAGGCCGTGGCTCTGAGCTCTGAGTCTGCTCTCCTCCGCTGCCCGGGTGTGGCTGCGGCTGGGCTGAGTGAATGAGGTGCAGCCCTCCCGGCTGCTGTTCTGCCACAGCACAGGCCTGGCATCCTCAGGCACCATGAGACATGCAGTGACAGATGACGAGCTCACACAAAAGCGGTGTCCCGCATTTTCTCGTCTGGAAGCTATAAAAATCAATGAAAAGTGAAGGAACGCCGTCTTTCTATGGCTGACCTCGAGATGGAGGGCGTGAGCCCTCCATTTCCAGCTGGCCGGGTCCTTCACTTGACAGACCTTCCTGCACGCGCCTCGGGCGCAGAGGGTCCCTCCGGCGGGCCTCACAGCCTGTGTGTCTTCTCCTAGGGCTCTGTGAACTTCAAGTTCGGGGTTCTCTTTGCCAAAGATGGGCAGCTCACTGATGATGAGATGTTCAGCAACGGTGAGTGTCTCCCTGCTGTCCCCGAATACAAACCCCAGCCCCCTTTGCTGCAGTTTTAACAACCCAGAGCCACACGTGGGCTCAGTTGTCTTTCATACAAAAAAAAACTGCCCATTGTTTTATGAAGTCTCAGGGTAAATTTGAGGATCAACTTTGAGGGGCTGTTGTTGCCCTCTTTCATTCTTTTGTCCATTTGACAATTACTCATTAATCAGCTGCCTTCTGCAAGGCCTGGCACCAGAGATACAGTGTAACTGGGACAGCAGGTGGCATTGCTGGTCCCACACCTTCTGGTAGGAGGAAAGTTATTTCTCTGTGGTGTGCGTGGTTGGGAGGCTTATAAAATGGTCATTATGTTTGTATATTATAAAACATGAACACATGATAGAATGGTGAACCAACAGGAAAAAGCATCTTCCTGTTACTAGCACGGGAGGGTCCTGTTACAGGCCTGTGTGTTGTGAATAGAGCCGGGGCGTGGGGGTGGGAGGCGGCGGTGATGTTTCCTTCTGGCAGCGTGTCATTTTGTGGCACTTGTGACCACAGTCTGGCAGTGGCAGGGTCGGTTGGCCTGAGTCTGCAGTTTTCCTTTCCTCGGCCTCCTGGGGGCTAGGAAGCTCCCGCTGCGTCTCCAGGAGGACCAGGGTCTGCGGGCATGTCTGCAGAGCCTCGCTGGTTTGCAGGCGCCTCCAGCAGGCAGGGAGCACGGGTTGGCACCACACACTGTCCTGCTTTATCTCTCCTTACAGAAGTCGGAAGTGACGCTTTTCAAAAGTTTTTACATCTCCTTGGTGACACAGTCACCCTAAAGGGCTGGACAGGCTACCGCGGCGGTCTGGACACCAAAAGTAAGCGTGCTCTCGAGCTGACCATGGGTTGGTTGGTGTCTGTGTGTCTCTGCTACTCAGTCTGATGTGCCTTTGCATGTACACCTGAGGTGGACAAAGGGAGGGACATAGAAGAGGGGAGTTGAGCTTCACACCCGCATGGGGTTGCTGGACACTTGGGTGGCCCCAGGGAGCTTTGCGTGGTCTGCTCATGGGCCTCACTGCTGAGCAGTGTTTGTGCCAGGGCTGGTTTCGCAGGGTGTTAATGGATAAGCCAGCATGGTCCCCACCTTTCTCAGATAATCACGGGTGCAGGGTGAGGCATGAGGCCCCAGAGATCAGGTCTTAGGTTTATTCCACGAGCGCCAGCCACTTGGGACCCCAAAGCTGCACGTTCCTCATCCCCATCAGCAGCTCTCAGCCTCCCTTCGGGTCACAGCCACCATGTCGGGCTGGGCTGCGGCCAGGCCCTTTGCTGAGCACTTCAGTGGCCTGTGACAGCCTCTCCACACCCAAAGGAGGGAGACACTATTGTGACCCCATCATCAGGGGAAGAAACTGACTCAGAGAAAAGTGGGGTGACTTGTCGAAAGAAAGGTGGCTGATGAGAACGCCTGGCCCCAGGCCCAGCCTGACCCGTGGCCTGCACGCTGCGTGTGCCATTCGCGTGCACTCCGTCCTGCAGCCCAGCGTGGGGAGGCCAGCACCTGTGACATACTCTCCTTTTTAGTCCGGGCTTCTCGTGGCTTCCTCAAGGTAGGCATGAACTGGGCAGCAGGTGAGAGCTCGCCTCGCTGTCAGGAGCCCGCGCCAGCCGCAGTGTGACCCTCGCTGTGGCTTCCTCAACCGTGGACTCTGACAGTGACCCAGCACCTCCGTGGGCCGCACTAATGGTGTGCTCTGGCCCCAGCCTGTGCGAGTGCCCTCGGCGTCTGTGCCCACACGGTGTTTGTGTCTTACAGACGATACCACAGGGATAAGTTCCGTTTATACTGTGTACCAAGGGCATGAGATCATGTTCCACGTTTCTACCATGTTGCCATATTCCAAAGAGAACAAACAGCAGGTAAGTGTGGCCGCGCC